TATTTCCAAAATAACCCCCAGCCTTAGCCACCAGTCATTTCCTCTATAAAATGAAAATAATGAACTGTCTAACTATATCTTAAATAAGCATTCTTACACAGTCTTCTGTTTAAAGTTCTGCCAGACGCATATCTCTCCGTGTGTTGTCTCTGGCTGTCGTGAAAGCAAACTCTTCCCCCATCTCTCTTCTCCGTCCTCCTCCTTCCTCATTCTCCTTCGCCCATCTTTCTTAAATTAAGAAGTTATGTCCTTGTCCATCGGAGTTGAGATAAGATAAGGGTCAGCTTGCTCTTCTTAACTTTTTTTTTCTTTAGCTGGAGAAGAACTGACCTTGCACATTTTTCTCTCTAATTAGCACCTGGACACAAGCAGATTTCTAGCTTTTTCGTTACAGCTCTGAAATAAATCCTATGAAATACAACTCTATTCTATTTTCATAATCAAATTCCGTCTTGTCCGGGTTCAGCCTTGTCCATCTTGTCCGGGTTCAGCCTCAGCCTGTTCTCCTCTCAAGAGACTATGGTAGTGTGCTTTGTATGAAAGACGTGGAAGGGCATCTAGTGTGGCTGAGAAGGACAATTCGAGTGTGACTATCCCTTTCACACTGAAGACAAATACAATCTGTCTCCTGTTCAGCTCCCTGATTTTGCTTCAACGCTATATGCAAAGCTGGAGTGTCCTCTCCAGAGCATGAAGCCTGGGTAAAATAATAACATGGAGGATAGGCTGTTACCCAAGCAGCAAATCCTCCCTCTCCACATTGCTGAAATAGTCCAATGGAAAGGCAAGAGCCAATACAAATGGTTCCAGCAAATAAAATCTCTTTCAGCAAAAGCATTCAAAATCTGCTTTGAATTTTTAAAGGTTTCCAATCCCCAGTTTTAATTAGAAGCATATACATTTCCAATGGATTTAAAATCATTTCCATACATATTATTAATCTGTCTACCCTACTCTTTTAACTTCCTCCTACTTCTTGTGATGAATTGTGTCATATAACAATTGTTATATCTTTTTAATTTTTGTCTCAGGAGCAAAGATAGCTGATGACTAAAGGTGCATTTAGAGCATTTAGAGTCTTATTTATGGTTTCCTCAAATACTTTTGATACCTTTTTGGAATCTTTTGAAATTTTGTCCTTTTGATTCTTTCACAATGTTTAATAAAACATTTTTAAAAATTCTCCATTCAATTGTCTGGATTTTTGGCTAAGAAAGTTTGTGGTATTTGAAACCAGGCCTTGCCCTGACCAGCGACTGGAAGTTTGTGTTTTTGTGGGTGTAGCAATTTTGTCTTGCAATGTTGACATGAGAGTATTAAACACTTAACCTTGTGGATTTTTTCCGAACTCCCTGAAAGCATGGCTTAGACAGGTCAGACTAGAGTGTTGGGAGGTACCAGGACCAGGCAGGTTCCCTTGTAGAGACTAGAGTATTTGTATGTGAATATCCCTGCACAGTTGAAAATCACAAGGGTCCGGCCAATTTCGTTGCTGCCGCCAGCTCTGCAGAGCTTTCCTATTGTGCCATTGTCCACAATTGTTTACCCACTCCTGGCAGAGGCAGGATGACAAGCCCCTGTGGGGCTTAGCACAAAGGGAGAAAGCAGGGATCAAAGCGATCCTGCAGTGCTTTGATCCCTTTCTCCCTACACTTGCTAAGCCCCACTTAGATTTCTTAATTTTGGGTTAGCAAAGTGGGGGGCGCGTCTTATACATAATTGTCTCCCCTTATTCTTGCCCATTTACCATTTCAGTGTTCTTTTCCTTCCTGTATTAGGTAAGTCTGATGTATTTTTCCAAAATCTTTATATTTCTAACTCTGATGCTCAATTTGATTTTCAGTGTGTGTGACTGTTTGTTTGTTGCCTTCAACTTTGTGTTAAAACACTATTGCTGGTTAAAGAAAACAAAATTTGGACTAACAGTACATGCCTTTGCTCTTTCCTTTTATATAGTTTGGAGCTCCAATTCTATTCATCTATCTTCAGAGAGCAGAAAATGGGGGAGATAAGAAAAATAACTAACAGTCTGCAGAACTCTGAGCCATGGGGAAAGACCACTACACTTATTAATAACAGGTAGAGGGTGTGCACCCCACATACCCCCCCCCAGATTAAAAGAGAAACATGAATGATTTATTTTTCCAAAAGGAGCAATGGTTTTTAACTTGTTTATAAATTATTTCCAGTTGGGGTGAGCAGTCTTGCTGGCAACAGCAACTAATTTACTTATTCTGTTAGAACAAAAACTGATTGCAAATAACTCCAAAACAATCTAACCAAATTGGAAGAATTAACATTTTTTAAAAGGTGAATGAGATTCTGTAAAAGCAATGGTAAAATAAGGCATATTAAGGAAAAAAAATTATAAAATTCACATATATATTAATGGGATTTGGGCCAGTAGTAATGGACCAAGAGAGGAATTATGCTTCTCCACAGCTAAAGTTCAGACTTTTTGTTACTAAAGAATATCTTTCCAAAACCTTAATTGTTCAAGAAGTGCCATAAGAGGAGGAATCTAACTGTATGTACAAGGAAGGAATACCATGTATGTATAAACTTCTCTCTCCTTTCCAGCTTTCTCAGTTTTTCAGAGAGAACTTTAAAACAGACAGTTCATCCAAGACTTATACTCATAACCTCTGCCAGCACTTTGCTATTGCCAGAAAGCTGCCATAGCATCACTCTTCGGAACTGCACGGACAGAACATGGAGCTTCTGGGGAAGAAAAAACCTTGATAGAAAAGGAACAACAAAAATGACTAATCCATGTGCAATTACATCAAGAATAATGTGTATAGTTCTGGTTACCCCACTTGTAGGTGGATATAGCAGAACTGCAAAATTTGCTGACAGGTACAGTCAAAATGATATTGGGACTGAAAAAATGATCATAGTTCTCTCTTTTGTTGGAGGTTTTAAAACAGAAGTTAGATGGCCACCTATATCAGGGATGCTTTAGTGGTGAATTTCTTGTTTCTGCAAGGGATTAGGTGCAACAACCTTTCGAGTCCCTTTCAGCTCTGCAGTTCTATGATTTTACAAGTCTATGGAGCAACCGCCATATGAGAAAGGGTAAAATATTATGCATATGCATTCAGAAAGTAGAGGAACAAGCTTTTCCATTTTTTAAAATTACACTAGAATCCAGAATTATCCACTGAATCTGAATGGTTAAATGATTTTTCAAAAAAAAAAATACTCTGCACACTGTTGAATTCATTGACCATTTTGGCAGCTTTGATATTTAGATACACTCATGGATGTTGGGGCCATCTGTGGCTACTAATCAGGATGTCTATATATCCTATGCAATATGGAAGGCAATGTGCCTCTATGTCTTTGTTGGTACAGAAGAAAAAGGGTACAGTGTTGGGGTGTTTCATTAGATTTTGAGGGGGATTCCAACTCCCAGAATCCTCCAAGAATTCCACAGGCAGAATTCCAGGAGTTCCATTTTACAAACACATATCTGCAGAAACCTTCATTTCAACCACCTGGACAAGGCCTTCTTCTAGGACTCATTCCTGCTGCCATGCTTCCTGGGGGTGATGTTTCTTCAGGAAACACCCTCTATAGAGCATAACGGGAAACAAGACAATCACCTCCAGGGAGGATTGTAGCAGAAAACTTGTCCAAATACATTTTGAGTTCTTGCACAGGCTGATCTTGAAACAGTAAAGCAGGTTAGAATGTGTTTCATGGCAAATGATTGGCAGTCTTTTAATGCAACAGACAGTCATTTTATTAATGGAACTGCTTTTTCTATCTCCCCACATACACCTCAAAAATTCCTGAGGAAGACAGGTTAATAATCTTGGTGCAATTATTTTTTCAAACTCTGAGTGTCGCTGTTTGCTTGTAAGACTGATGAGAAACACAGATTTCTTCTTTGTTGCCCTACAGCAAAGAATACAAAAGCTCAGACCCACATTCACACTCTCTGGAAGTGCAGCAAGAAAAGGACAGGCAGTCTCTGGACCTTTATAGCATTTTGTGTTCAAAGGAGGAGAGAAACACTGGAGTAAAGCAGTCTGCCTGTGTCTCTTTAGAAATGGCTGGAGGAAGACAATGTTTTCCAAAAAGATTTTTATTTTACTTTCTGCTGATCACTATCTGGGCACTAGCTTCTGGGCAAGTGCACTATTTAATTCCTGAAGAGCTGGAGAAAGGCTCTTTTGTTGGAGATATTGCAAAAGATTTGGGACTGGACCTCAAAGAATTGTCAACTGGTGAAGTCAGAATAATATCCAGAGGTATGAAGCAATACTTTGCACTTAACTTAAGAAATGGCCATTTGTTTGTTAATGAAGTAATTGATAGGGAGCAAATCTGCTACCAGGTAGAACAATGTGTGTTAAAATTTGAGATTCTTGTTCATGATAAAGTCAAGTTTTTTACGGCTCAAGTTGAAATAGCGGATATCAATGATAACTCACCCAGCTTCCCTATAGAAGAAATGGAATTGACTGTTGCTGAAAATTCAGGTCTTGGGACACGGTTTCTTTTACCAGAGGCTCAGGATCCAGATTTGGGGACCAATTCTCTCCAGACCTATCAACTCAGCAGTAACAAACACTTTTCTCTGGATGTACAGAATGGGACTGATGGAGCCAAATATGCTGAACTCATCCTTGAAAAGTTATTAGATCGAGAAGAACAGAAAACGCATCAACTCATTCTCACTGCTGCTGATAAAGGGGAACCAGCCAGGTCAGGTACTGTGCATATTCGTGTTGCTGTTGCAGATGTAAATGACAACGCCCCTATTTTTAATAAGCCTCTCTATGAAGAGAATGTTGTTGAAAATATCATTAAAGGGTCCCAAGTGTTAATACTGAATGCAACTGATCTTGATGAAGGAATAAATTCAAAAATAACTTATTCATTCAGAAAAATTTCAGACAAAGCTTCCAAAATATTCCATTTGGATCCTGGTACAGGGCAAATATTTGTCACTGGAAATCTGGACTTTGAAGATTCTAAGTTACATGAAATTGAAGTGCAAGCGCAAGATACAGCTGGTTTATCTAGTCGTGCCAGAGTACTAATAAGAATCATAGATGCAAATGATAATGCTCCAGAGATCACAATTACACCACTTTTCAGCAAAATTGCAGAAAGCTCTCCTCCAGGAAGTATTATAGCTCTTATAAATATAAATGACAGAGATGATGGGGAAAATGGTGAGGTGACATGTTCCTTACCAGCAGACCTTCCATTTCTCTTGAAGAAATCATTTGACAGTTATTACAGTTTGGAGACTGCAAGAATCCTTGACCGGGAGAAAGATCCAAAATACAACATCACAATCATAGCAAGTGATCAAGGGATTTCTTCTCTCTCGGCAACTGCTTACTTCCCATTAGAAATATTAGATGAAAATGACAATTCACCCACATTCAAAAGTAGAGCCGTCACTATTTATACTGAGGAAAATAACAGTAAAGGTGATTTCATTGCAATTTTAAAGGCACATGATCCTGACTATGGAGAAAATGGAAGAATAACATATTCTATAATTGATCAACACATTGTACTAGCCAATCCAATGAAAGCTTACTCAGACAGAAACTCCCAAATAAGTGTAAATAAGAATGTGATCAGAAATTCCTTCCTTTCTTCATACATCTCTATCAATTCTGAGAATGGAGCTCTGTATAACCTGAGTCCCTTTGATTATGAAGAGATCAGAGAGATCGACTTCCAGGTGAAGGCCCAGGATGGAGGCTCTCCACCCCTCAGCTCCAATGTCTCTGTGACCCTCTTCATCCTGGATCAGAATGACAATGCCCCAGAAATCCTGTCCCCTTCCCCTCCCACTGATGGCTCCACTGGGATAGAACTGGCTCCTCGCTCCTCAGAGCCAGGTTACCTGGTCACTAAGATAGTGGCTGTGGATGCAGATTCTGGCCAAAATGCTTGGCTCTCTTACCAGTTGACCAAGGCCACAGAGCCAGGGCTGTTCACTGTGGGACTCCACACTGGAGAGATCAGGACAGCTCGGTTCTTCCTGGAGAAAGATGCCCTCAAACAGAGTTTGGTGATTCTGGTGAAGGACAATGGGCAACCCTCTCTCTCTGCCTCAGTCACAATCACAGTGGTGTTGGCTGATAGTATTCCAGATGTCCTGACTGATTTGAGCAGCGTATCAGTTGCTCTGGATCCCCCATCAGATCTCACCTTCTACCTGGTGACTGCAGTAGCTTCTGTTTCATGCTTGTTCATCATCTTTCTTCTTTTGTTGGGGGTCCTCAGAATCTACAAATGGAAAAACTCACACTTGTGTGAATCAGGAACTGGACATTTTAATGGAGTTCCAGTTTCACAGTTTGTGGGCATTGACGGATATCAGTTGCTCTGGATCCCCCATCAGGTCTCACCTTCTACCTGGTGACTGCAGTAGCTTCTGTTTCATGCTTGTTCATCATCTTTCTTCTTTTGTTGGGGGTCCTCAGAATCTACAAATGGAAAAACTCACACTTGTGTGAATCAGGAACTGGACATTTTAATGGAGTTCCAGTTTCACAGTTTGTGGGCATTGACGGTGTCCGAGCTTTTATCCACACTTACTGTCATGAAGATTCATTAACCATGTGTTCCCAAAAGAGTAAAATGATTTTTCCAGTTGAAAGGTCTACAGATACTCGTTCACCTCAAAGAGCTTCTGATAAAACAGATCCTTTACTAACTCTGGACGACCCAACATCCGATGAAGAAAGGCATGACACTGAACAGGTGGGTTTACTTTTGAAATTTAAAGTTGAAGAAATTTTAAGGTTGTAGTGCAAAAAGGAGTTTCCCAAAAGAGTAAAATGATTTTTCCAGTTGAAAGGTCTACAGATACTCGTTCACCTCAAAGAGCTTCTGATAAAACAGATCCTTTACTAACTCTGGACGACCCAACATCCGATGAAGAAAGGCATGACACTGAACAGGTGGGTTTACTTTTGAAATTTAAAGTTGAAGAAATTTTAAGGTTGTAGTGCAAAAAGGAGTTGCATTTGATCAGACCTCTAGAGCAAACTGGTCAGTGAAATGATGAGCTGCGGTTCTGAAATTTGAACTTTGCAGTTCTCAAACCTGTTCTGCATTGTAGTTCCTTCTTCCAAGTGGATTTGTGGCCAGGCAAAAAAACTTAGCCATGTTCAGTGGAACAGTAAGTACTTTATACTTCCTGAATTGAAAACTCAGTTTCTCTACATTTTCCTGGTAGCAAGTTACTTGTATTCATGTAGTTCACTAAAGTAGAGACTGTGGTTGAATGCCATTTCTGATAAATGATGGACAAAAATAAGGTACAAAGGGACAAACTCTGAGGTTCAGAGACCCAACTATAGTATTATTATTGTACTGAACTGCTTTGGGTGAACCTCTTTGTTTTTTTATGGCTTTATGCAAAATATATGCAAACATCTTGTGCAAAAATAAATGCATTAAATATGCAGTATTTCTACATTAGATGATACTTAGTTTGTTGCTGGGCTAGAGTTCTTTCTTTCTTTCTTTCTTTCGCTGAGCTAGAGTTCTTTCTTTCTTTCTTTCTTTCTTTCTTTCTTTCTTTCTTTCTTTCTTTCTTTCTATTACTTTTGGTAAATAACTACGTCAAGATTGAGAGTTTGCACTTCTGGGCACCTACTGAAGCCCTCTTTTTCCCATTATCCTTGAAGCTCGACGTTCATCAGATCCTTCTGAGTCAAGAAACAATTAGAGGAGGGGAGGAAAGGAGTGGCTGACAGTGTTCACTTCTCTCCAGACAGTGTTATCATTGGGCACAACTGAAGACTGCAAGCAAATATGAAGCAGTCATGGTAGAAAGAAGAGGTGATCACTCAGAGAGCAGAGACGCCCAATGGTATCTCCTTGCCTAAGTTACTACTGACCATATCTGATTTTATGAGCAAAGATAGGTGCTCCTGACACACACCAAAAGTAATAGTATTACAGAAATATGCGACTTTAAAACTAAAACTACTTTACTGATTCAGTAGTATGAAAATAAAATTGATCTTGCGGGAAAAGCTAAAAGACCTGCTATCATATAATATAAAGGATGAGTAGCATTAGAAACATAACATTTTTATTTTTATTTCTACAAAATTGCTGACGTTAAATGTGTTCAACGCTGAAAAAAAAGGAAGCAAATAGCAAAACAATTATAAGAAAGGAGTGGAGCTAAAAAAGCAATGAAATGGAAGGTTTAAATATGTTTAAACTTAATTGAACTCATCTTCAGCTGAAACGAATGCTTGGGGAAACTAATTCAGTGTCCTGCCATCAACCAGGGATAAGTGGGTAAGATGTTATCACATATCTTGTAGTCTCTCTGTAATAGCAGTATAAGATACATACAAAACTGAAGAAAATAAAAAGAATATTTAAAAAAACTGAAAAAAATAATCTCATATTATTTCTCATTCCAGTGTTGAGGTGGTAGTACTTAGTTTCTAAATTATGATCTATGTATTTCAAAATACTAAATTAATTTTCTTTGGACTATTGTGAGGGATTTTTATGCTCATTATGCTGACAAATGAGCATAAAAACTGCTATCAGTTTCTAAAACTGCTGTATCATCCACATTATGAAATGTTTAAAAATACTGCATTTATTTCTTGAGACATTGGGTGTCGCTGTTCACCAATAACGAGACATCCAGATAACCCAATGCAGTGTAACAAGACAGAAATCTCCCTGGTTGAAAGAACACAGGAAGGGAGGACCCTGTTGGAAGGATAGTGGAGGAAAAAAGGCTTTGATAAATACATTTTTCTTGGAGATATCTGGATGCAAGCAGCAGTATCTGCAGAAATCAAGGACAAAAGAAAATCACCACTATCTGTAGACAGGTTTAAAGCCTTTGCAGAAGCTGTAATGGCTAACAGTCAGATGCTCTGCGATACAAGGAGGCAGTTGTTCTGCATCATGTTAGTAGCTGTTTTTCAAGCAATTGCTGGGCAGATCCATTACTCGATTCCTGAGGAACTGCAGAAAGGTTCTTTTGTGGGGGACGTCGCAAAGGATCTGGGGATGGATTTGAAGCAACTCTCGCATGATGCTGTCCAGATTGTTACTGAAGGTAGGAAACAATATTTTGCCCTCAATATCCAAAATGGTTATTTGTATGTTAAGGAAAGGCTAGATAGAGAAGAGCTATGTCCCCAACTAGCCACTTGTGTCATGAAGTTAGAGGTCCTTGTTCAAGGACAGCTTAAGGTTTATACAGTCAAGATTGAAATTGAAGATATCAATGACAATGCACCAACATTCCAAGCAGAAACACTGCAACTGAACATCGCAGAAAGTACAGCCGTAGGGTCCCAGTTCCTTCTTCCAGATGCACAGGACCCGGACTTAGGAACAAACTCTTTGCAGAACTATCACATCAGCCCTAACAGCCACTTTTCTCTTGATGTTCAAATGACACCAAGCGGGGCCAAATATGCCGAGTTAGTACTGGAAAAGCCTATAGACCGGGAAGAAATAGCATTCCATGAATTAATCCTGACAGCCAATGATGGAGGAAATCCTGCCAAATCTGGAACTGCACACATCAAGATTGTTGTAGAAGATGCAAATGACAATGCACCAGTTTTTTCACAGTCTGTTTATAAAGTGACTGCTATGGAAAACATTCCTATTGATTCTTTACTAGTAACAATAAATGCTACAGATCTGGATGAGGGCATTAATTCAGAGATCACATATTCATTCCGCCAAATATCAGAAAAAGCTTCAAATACATTCCATTTGGATGCCAAGACTGGAGAAGTAAAGGTGAGGCAGAATATGGATTATGAGGAGTGCACTTCCTATGAAATGGAGGTTCAAGCCCGTGATGGAAGGGGTTTATCAGGGCGAGCAAATATTTTCTTGGCAGTTACTGATGTAAATGATAATGCACCAGAAATTGCAGTAACATCTTTCACCAGTGCTCTGAGTGAAGATTCCCCAGTAGGGATTGTAACTGCACTGTTAAAAGTAACAGACAGGGATTCAGGAGAAAATGGCATGGTCATGTGCTCCATCCTTGGTAACATGCCATTTCATTTAGAGAAAACTTTTGATAATTACTACAGTTTAGGGACTGACAGAGCCCTGGACCGTGAAGAGGCCTCTTATTACAATGTGACTGTTATAGCAATGGATAAAGGAATTCCTCCTCTTTCCACAACAACTATCATTCCAGTGAAAATATTGGACAAAAATGACAACCCACCAATTTTTCAGAAAAAATCCTACACTTCTTCAATTTCAGAAAATACTCCAGCTGGAACTTCGATTATCACAATAAAAGCAACTGATCCAGACTGGGAGAAGAATGGCAAAGTTAGTTACTCAATTACTTCAGGAGAAATGAATTACTCCTACTTATCCTCCTGTCTGTCTGTACACTCAGAGACAGGGACAATATATGCCCTACATCCCTTTGACTATGAAGAGGTCAAGGAACTTAACTTCCAGGTGAAGGCCCAGGATGGAGGCTCCCCACCCCTCAGCTCCAATGTCTCTGTGACCCTCTTCATCCTGGATCAGAATGACAATGTGCCAGAAATCCTGTACCCCTCTGTTCCCACAGATGGCTCTACTGGGATAGAGCTGGCTCCTCGCTCTTCTGAGCCGGGTTACTTGGTCACTAAAGTGGTGGCCGTAGATGCAGATTCTGACCAGAATGCCTGGCTCTCCTACCAGCTGACCAAGGCCACAGAACCAGGACTTTTCACTGTGGGACTCCACACGGGAGAGATCAGGACAGCCCGCTTCTTCCTGGAAAAAGATGCCCTCAAGCAAAGTCTGGTGATTTTGGTCAAGGACAATGGACAACCACCAATGTCAGCTTCAATCACTTTCACTGTAGTTTTAGCTGATAGCATTCCAGATATACTGACTGATCTAAGCCACATCTCAGCTCCTGTTGATCCTCCTTCCGACCTCACGTACTATCTAGTAATTGCAGTGGCTTTTGTCTCCTGCTTGTTCTTAGCTTTCCTCCTTGTTTTGCTCGCCATCAAATTGCATAAATGGAGAAAATCTCAATTCTGTGACAATGGAAGTGTGCGTTTCAGCGGTGTTCCTGTCTCCCAGTTTGTGGGAATTGACGGAGTCCGAGCGTTCCTTCAGTCTTATTGCCATGAAGTTTCATTGACTTCAGGCTCTCAGAAAAGGCTCTCCCAGATTCTTTTTCCTATTGGAAGCTGTACGAATACACTGACACCACAGCAGGCTGCTAATAAACCGGATCCTTTGTTAATAACTGGTGATCTGAATATCTTTCAGGAGGAAGCAGCTGCCACTCAGGTGAGTATGTACATGTCAGTACTTTGCAATTTTTCTTTTAATTTCAACTGCATTTTAAAATTGATAAAACAGCACTTTGGTTTACAAACAGTTTGGAAGCTCAGCAATAAGCTTGTGAGAAATGAGTTTATTGTTTTTTTGAAAACTATGTATTTAGATGTCAGTAAAGAAAGATGTATCTGCAGATAAATAAGCCACTTGCAAATGTATGGTCTGTGGCTAACTCCAAAATAATGAAGTGGGACCTTCTACTTGGATAAGAGGGGGCCTATGCAGACAGATAAGGCTTTTTCTACTTCTTTTTAAAAAATATAGTCTTATACATTCATTAAACTTGTGATATTTGTGAAAATCAGTCAATATTTTTGTAAACATTTTTATGTAGAATTAGATCAACCAAACATTTATGCAGTTGGGTTTTGTTGTTGTTCTTTATTTCTTGTTTATGACTCTTATCTTCATTGCAATTGTTGCTGCTGCTGCTATTTGAATACATTGTAAGCACAGAGGCCAAGATCTTACACAGCAGGGATGACATTAAAAATCTAACCAGTGTATGTACACACTTACTTAACTTCTGGCTCTCCAGAGATGGTGGGGCTATCCACTAGCAGCTAAAACAGTGGTGGGCTACTCTGTTGTCTACAAAGCCAGTTCAATCTTCTGGCACCTTACCAACCAATCAGTGGCCAGCATTGCTGGTGCTGATTGAAGAATGAAGAATCAATTGCAGTAGTATTGGGTGTACCTTTGTGAAAGCTTCAAGAAGTAAAGCCAGATGTGTAGCTGGAATTTGTGTAAGAACAATTTCACTACGCGATCCAGGTCAGTTTCCTATCTTGGGCTACTTGGATATTATTGTGCCTTCTTTGACTTCATTCATACTACAAATAGTTGTGAATATGAGCCTATGAAGGACATAATTCCTAAGAAATACTTCTGTTCATTGCTTGAGTTAAACAGTAGTCAATCCTGAAATATCTTCTTTTATTAAGAAGGCAGAGGATGTTCAGTATCATCTCTCACAATCCAACTGTGATCATTCTCAGAGCAAATTCATTTTAAAATTTGTTGAGCAAAATGGCAGAGAAGTGCTTTGCGTGTGGAAGATTAGGTTTCAGTGTTAACCTTTCTCCAGAGTTTCTTGCTTAGCCAACAGATTGTCTATTGATACTCTGAGATAAGTACAGTTAACTGCTGGAGAAAGATTGACATAGATAGTTCCTGCCAGTTGTTTCCTGCCAGTTGTTCTCAAACTTGGGTCCCCAGATGTTCTTGGAGTGCAACTCCCAGAAATTCTGACTAGCACAGCAAGTGGTGAGGGCTTCTGAGAATTGCAGTCCAAAAACATTTGGGGACCGCAGTTTGAAAAACACTGTAATAGATAGTAATCCTTGCTAGGAATAAAAGTCTGACTTGGTGTGAAGCAGATTCATTTGTTTTTACTATTTGTCCATACTTGTTAAGTGGTTTTCAAATAATAACAAGAACATTCATTCCTATCATCTTCATCATCCTCATAATTATTATTTTCCATCTACATTATTATTACTGCTGCTAACACACTTAGCATTTAATGAAGGAGCATATGCATGAAAGATAGGGCTCTCTTTCATGAGGCTTAAAATCATAATTTTGATCTGACATTGAATACTAGAGAAGAGACGGTAGCAGCACTCAAGGTAGGAGATGACCAAAGAATGAAGTAGAGTTTATCTAAAGGAATAAACACCTGGTTAAGAATTTGCATTGTTTTGCAAAGTAAAATGTTGCAAGGTAGATGGGAAGAAAATATGGGAAGAAAAAAAGGAGGCAGCTATCAAGATTAGCCACAATTTCATACTTGGTCAACAAATTGGCTAATTTTAGTAAGTGCTGGGAAAATAAGTGGGGCTCTTTCATAAGACTCCATTGACATGGAGGTAAACATTCACATTTGCAAAGCAGGCAATAATGTACCGCCAAAGTTTGACATTGGAGTTCATTATTTTCATAATTGTAGTCAAGAATGCACTTTCTACTCTATCAAAAGCCTTTTCATAAACAAGAATGGCTAGATTGTTTATGATTCCTATACCCTTTTGGAATTAGATTAATTGTTTTCTGAGTCTTATTCCAAATGTAAACCAATTTATAGGTGCTACTTCAGCAAAATAAATATAACATTGGTTAAATCTTATTGCCTGCAAAGGACACAGTATACAGTATCTCTCGTTGCACTCTTGCAGTTGTATACAAAGATACAATGGTGAAAAATTATCCAGTCAAAAGTGACCATATGAAGGTAGGATTCAATGGATTCACATAAGTGTATTCATAAAACTCTTTGCAAAGGAATCACAGTGGACTGCTTAGGATTCCAGTTGAATACAAACTTGCCATCTTGAGGACATATATAAAGAAGGTTCGTAACTACCTTGGACAGTTTCTCTGAATGGCAACGCATGGACACAATGGTGGAAAGGTAGGATCTGCTCACTATAACAAACCAACATAGAGTGAGCTCTAAAATGTACTCCAATCTGTGTATATTAATATTTCCTATTCAATGTGTATTGTAGATATTTCATTCCATACATCTGCTTCCTACCATCTTTCAGTTTTAACCAAATTAGAAAAAAAAGGTGAAGGAACCTTTTGAATCTTTAGTATCATATAAGAATGAAGAGTGAATACACTACTGTTTTCAATATCAAATAATTGCTGATTCACAGCCAGTAGGTTTAGTGACAATCCAGGACAAACTAGTAAGAGGCTGAACAAGGTTAACCATTCAAAGCCTACTGCTATATGAGGACCTGGGATACAAGGCATGTTGGGACAATGCTGGATTCACTTGACAAAGCTTACTGGCTATGTGGGGTGCTGATAATTCCTGTAATGTTTATCAGCAAACAAGAAACTTTGTTTAAAAAGACTGAACTTGTCTTGGAGCCAGGTGAGATTGCCAATTCAAAAGATATTCTTCCCTCGATAGAGAGGACAACCACATTGTTGACTATAAAGGAAGCAAGAAGTTAAATGGTAAATGAGTCTATGGATCAGCAATTTTAGTTATCAATATTGCAGCTGAAATATGTAACCATAGTTGAATGCATATGCTTTTGACCCACATCATTCAGTTTAACTATTTAGTTAACATGTTAAAGGCTATCAAAACAGAGATAGTTGAAACTGGTAGAAATTACTTATAGTAAAAAGACATGCACAGACACACATGTGTTTGTGTACATGTATACATGTATGTATGTGTTTTCTAACATTTCTGAACTAAAACAAAATAGATCAGAAAGCAAAAGACCAGGAAGCAAAAGATAAAGAACCTAGTTTCTGTGTATTGAAATAATGTTTATAAAATATACATTAAATATATATTTCATATCATTGGCGTAATAATGCCATCCTAAAATCATTTTTAAAATATGACCTTTTTATGAAGGAAAACATAAAGAATCTCAGTTTAGAAAAAAGTACTGCATTCATTTCATTTTAAACTTACCCAACATGCATTTATCACCAATTAATATTATTTCTCAAAATGTGGGCATGATATACTGTACATGGAGGCTGAAAATCTTTTCATGTCTATTTAAGTGAGAAGCAGTTAGCACATGACTGGAAGAGGGAAATTCTTAACTAATATGCGATAGCAGGAGATTGTCTCACTTACAATATCATGCAAATTAGTTTTTGGTGGGTTATTATTATTATTATTATTATTATTATTATTATTATTATTATTATTATTATTATTATTATTATTATTATTATTATTATTATTATTATTATTATTATTATTATTATTATTATTATTATTATTATTATTATTATTATTATTATTATTATTATTATTATTATTATTATTATTATTATTATTATTATTATTATTATTATTATTATTATTATTATTATTATTATTATTATTATTATTATTATTATTATTATTATTATTATTATTATTATTATTATTATTATTATTATTATTATTATTATTATTATTATTATTATTATTATTCATGAAATTCCTTTGAGGTCTCATTTCACAAGCTCAGAAAGACTACCTCAGTGAACTTTCTGAAAAATTAATGTGCTTTCAGTCTTACTTAGGTGCTATCCCTAGTGTTTACTTCTGGCCTCAGTTATAAGTCTTACTGATTTTGATGGATCTTATTTCTAGTTACATTATATAGTGGCTCTAGCTACCCCATAATAAAAGTTGATGTCAATGTATCATGTTATCTCCCTCAAAGATGCTAATGGCGCACATTGTGCTATTTCTTTCTTTCTGGCAACCTTTTCATTAGGCCTATTATTTACTGCCATTGCAGTTCTGTCTCTCACCTTTTGAAAGCCTGATGTCCATCTGGATTCCTTTTCCTCAAATTGACAATTTGGAGCTGCAATTGTTGGGTCAAAACTGAGAGTTTTTAGCTTCTCCCCTTGAATAGAACTAGCTTATTTGTGGGTTTTACATCCTGTAATGTGTTTTGCATCCATGGGGGGAGCACATTGTAACATCTTATATAAAGCGAATTTGTCTCTTTAAGAGAGAGCTTTAAATTGTGGGTTTTTCGGGCTTCTTGGCCGTGTTCTGAAGGTGGTTTTTCCTAACGTTTCGCCAGTCTCTGTGGCCGGCATCTTCAGAGGACAGCAAACTGTGCACAACAACCATTAGATCCCTGCCGTGAAAGCCTTCGCGAATACATCCTGTAATGTGTTTTGCATCCAAGGGGGGGAGCACATTGTGACATCTTATATAATGTGAATTTGTCTCTTTAAGAGAGAGCTTTAAACGGCAGTTCTCCTTCCTTTGTAAGTGGATGTGATTTCTTTATATAGAGCACCACTGAGAGTAGTTAGTTAATACAAGGTGCTTTGTTCACATTTATCTGGTAGTTTTAGAAAAATTCTAATCAGATGTTGCCAACAAGAGATAGCCTTTTGTTTCCCAACACTAAAATGTACACATTCTCTAGTATTAAAAAGTACAAAAGTTGGCCAAAGAGGGAAAAAACCCTTTGGTGTAGCCCCACTATTTTTATTTTATGTGTGCAAGTGGCACCTCATTGATTAGCTTTGATTAGTCACCCTGATGCCATGCTGATGCCCACAAAGACACCTCAACAGTATTGTGGCACTACAGTATATATAATACTAGTAGCCATCCTACTCCCTATGTAGTGGTGTGGAGAAGCTGAAATCAAACATTGGCTTTGATAGCATCAGCACATCCAAACAGCAGATTTGTAGCGCAATTCTAACTGTAGTTCTAAACTTAACTAATCCAGTTCAACTGATTTATATTTGTGGGAAGGAAGTCTTCATTAGTTTAACCAGTTTACTTGTCAATAAGCAGAGACCTTTTCTGTTTAGGGAAGCAAAGAATGAAGCTAACTGCTTGCATTTATTTGTGATAGAAAAGGGAAAATGAGTCTGAATAAATGTGTCATGTTTTGAGTGATAAAAGATCTGTAGATTTCATTTCCATACTTTTGTGGATACAGCTTCTGTACTGTAACATTTTGCTTTAAACCAAAGTTTTCATGGAGCGTGTATGTATTGCATCCCCGGTAAAGTAATGTATGCAGGTAGTTGATATTGTACTTCACACAGAACAGCTGCTAAGAGACATCACCAGTTTTCCCTTTTTGAACTGTTCAGTTGAAAAGTGTAGAGTAAAAAGGGACAATAAAATTATGGCCTTCATAGAAAACAAGACAAACAACACATACAAAAGGGAAGCTGTATCTTGACTGTTGTTCATTTGTTGTAGTTTTTTGGTTGAGACTCTGGGTGCCGCTGTTCACCAATGAGATAGCAAGCTGCATGGAGAGATCCAAGAGGAACAACTGAATGTTGCACATTGCCAGGAAAGTGTGCCCGCACACATACACTCCCGGTGAAACAGCAGATGTTAATCAAAGAATTTTCTTTGAAAGCAAGGAAGAAGAAGGATTTGTTTTAGAGAAAAAAAGAAACAGAACTGCATGGTCCAAAGGAAATCCTAAAAAAAGGAGTCTTAGAAAACTTGAAATGGCACATGCTTTCAGACTCCAGCAATGCAATGATTTATTCTGGTTTACTCTGGTTGCCATTTGGCAGCTAAATGGTGGGCAAATCCACTATTCAATTCCTGAGGAACTCCAGAAAGGATCATATGTAGGGAATATTGCAGAGGATCTGGGACTTAGCTCGAAGGAGCTGTCAGATAGCAGCGTTCGCATCATTTCTGAAGGTATGCATCCATATTTTACCTTGAATTTTGAGAATGGACATTTATATGTTTCAGAAAGAATTGACAGGGATGAAATATGTGGGTGGGAGGAGAAATGCATTTTAAGTCTGGAAGTTCTTGTTAAGGATAAAATGAAGCTATTCATAGTTGAAATTGAGATCACAGATATAAATGATAATGCTCCAACATTTGCACAGGAGCGCTTAGATCTAAAGATAAGCGAAACAGCAGCTGTGGGGACCCATTTCCCTTTGCAGGAAGCTCAGGATGCTGACAGCGGAGATTATGCACTCGAGAACTACCATCTGAGCAGCAGCAAGCATTTTTCTTTGAAGCTCCAGAGGAAGTCTGATAGGGACAAATATCCAGAATTGGTACTTGAGAAGTCCTTGGACAGGGAAGAAGAAGCAGTTCACTTTCTCATCCTAACTGCTACTGATGGTGGACATCCTGTGAGGTCAGGCACTCTGCTAATCTATATAACAATTCTGGACGTAAATGACAATGCGCCCGTTTTTAACCAGCCTCTCTATCAAGTCAGTGTTTTGGAAAGTGTCCCCATAGGTTCAGTACTGCTTATTGTGAATGCTACAGATGCAGATCTAGATGCAAATGCTGAGGTGACATACACTTTCCTCAAAATAAAAGAGAAAGCATCACAGCTCTTCGAAATAAATTCAAGAAGCGGGGAAATATCAACAACAGGGAAGCTGGACTATGAAGAAAATACCTTATATGAAATCAGCATTCAGGCAAAGGATAATGGAGGCCTCTCTGACAGGACAAAAGTGATGATAATGGTTATTGATGTTAATGACAATATCCCTCAAATAACAGTCACCACCATTTTTAATTCAATCAGTGAAGGAAGCTCCTTGGGAACAGTGGTTGCTCTACTGAACATACAGGACAAAGATGTGGGTGAGAATGGAGAAGTCATATGTTCAATTCCTACAACTCTTCCCTTCCATTTAGAGAAATCATTTGATAACTATTACCGTCTGATGACTGACGGAGACCTTGACAGAGAAGAGATATCAAATTACAGCATAACAATCAGTGCTGCAGACAGAGGAAACCCTCCATTGTCAGCAACTGCGGTGCTATTTATTGAAATTTCAGATGTAAATGATAATGCCCCAGTCTTTGGCAAAACACAGTATACTTCTTATGTAACTGAGAATAACTCCAGAGGTCAGCCGGTTTGTCACATAAAAGCAAACGATCCTGATTTCATGGAAAATGCCACAGTCACTTTTTCAATAATTGAAGGAGGTATTAGTGACTCAACTCTCTCCTCCTACCTCTCCATTAATTCTGAAACTGGGGTTGTCTATGCTCTGTGCCCCTTTGATTATGAACAGATTAAAGAGATTAACTTCCAGGTGAAGGCCCAGGATGGAGGCTCCCCACCCCTCAGCTCCAATGTCTCTGTAACCCTTTTCATCCTGGATCAGAATGACAATGCGCCAGAAATCCTGTACCTTTCCCCTCCCACCGATGGCTCCACTGGGATAGAGTTGGCCCCTCACTCGTCAGAGCCTGGTTACCTGGTTACTAAAGTGGTGGCTGTAGATGCAGATTCTGGCCAGAATGCTTGGCTCTCCTACCAGTTGATCAAGGCCACAGAGCCAGGACTTTTCAGTGTAGGACTCCACACTGGAGAGATCAGGACAGCCCGCTACTTCCTGGAGAAGGACGCCCTCAAGCAAAGCCTGGTGATTTTGGTCAAGGACAATGGACAACCATCTCTTTCTGCCTCTGTCACAATCACAGTGGTACTGGCTGACAGTTTCCCTGACGTATTGACTGATTTGAACCGCATCTCAGCTCCTGTCGATCCTCCTTCAGACCTCACATACTATCTGGTGGTTGCTGTGGCTTTTATCTCCTGCTTGTTCTTCACCTTCCTCCTGGTTTTACTTGCCATCAGATTGCATAAATGGAGAAAATCTCAATTCTGTGACAATGGAAGTGTGCGTTTCAGCGGTGTTCCTGTCTCCCAGTTTGTGGGAATTGACGGAGTCCGAGCGTTCCTTCAGTCTTATTGCCATGAAGTTTCATTGACTTCAGGCTCTCAGAAAAGGCTCTCCCAGATTCTTTTTCCTATTGGAAGCTGTACGAATACACTGACACCACAGCAGGCTGCTAATAAACCGGATCCTTTGTTAATAACTGGTGATCTGAATATCTTTCAGGAGGAAGCAGCTGCCACCCAGGTAAGCATGTAAACTTTAATGCCTCCATTTTATGTTAAACCACAGAGCATATACATTTTAATGCCTCCATTTTATGTTAAACCACATAAACCAAGTTCTTATCTAGGTTTGATAAGCTTCATTTACTTGAACTTTATCCCAAGGTGCTCTGTTGGTGCTTTTTGTAATGGAGGTTTAATGGCAGAATGTTTTAGCAGTCTACCTGACTTTTTAAAAAATATTTAAACAATTATTTTATTTATTCAGATAAATACATTTTAATGCCTCCATTTTATGTTAAACCACATAAACCAAGTTCTTATCTAGGTTTGATAAGCTTCATTTACTTGAACTTTATCCCAAGGTGCTCTGTTGGTGCTTTTTGTAATGGAGGTTTAATGGCAGAATGTTTTAGCAGTCTACCTGACTTTTTAAAAAATATTTAAACAATTATTTTATTTATTCAGATAAAAGTAGTCATTTTATCCATTATGTTTTAATAAGACATGATGTTGACTAAATTATAAAGCCAGCTCTCACATTGCTTTGCTAACTATCTTATCTTCTACTCACTACTTGTAAAAATGTTAAGTAACCTGTTGTGAAAACTGCTTCCTGCTTGTATTTCATAATCTACAGAAATAGTACACATTGTCATTGATACCTTGTCTGTTGCAATCAATATAGTGATGGGCTAATATTCAGGAAAATTGGTGTTAATTCCCACTTAGTATTATGACTTGACAGCACATAACACACATCTTGAAAGACCACTGATTTTCTGGACTAGAACACGAGCTTTTAGGCAGTTCACAACACTATTTGCTTTCATCAGCTGTCGGCCGCAATATTCGTATGCAGTAGTAGTAGCTGTTATCATTATCTTGATGGAGTCAGAAAAGAGGCAGGACTGGGTATTACTTAGCTGCACATCATTTGAACAATAGTTTGGGTAACAGAGATACTTTAGATATTAGTACATCTCCAATAGTCCAACACATGGTTTAAACTTTTTATAATAATAATTGATATTGATGCATAGCATGTAGGAATAGCTCTTCTTTTCTTGCAAATCATGGCTGCACAGGCTTGCAAACCACTCTGTCTTATCAAGTGAAGTGGTTCCAAAGATTAGGGAACATGTCAATGAAATAATACCCTTTGAGTGACCCCAGTATTTTGTTTCGTGATTTTAAAGTGTCACATTGAGAAATCATACTGCAATATCTACCAAAATTTTATAGATATTTTATAGCTATTTCTTGAAACTGTCAGTTGCAACTGGCAGCCAGAAATGCTTAGGAAAAGAGCAAAAATATAATGCAAAAAGTTTATTATGGTGTAACGAAGGTTCCCTCTAAGGTGCATGCCTGCGCAAGTGCGAACAACTCTACTGCCTTCTGCACAGCCTTTCTCCTCCTCCACACACTGACAGCAATAGTTTTCAGCCCTTTTGGTTCTGGTCATGACAGAACTCCATGCAAGGGGTAATTATGTGTGTGGGCAAAGTCACATGTGAGAGGGGTACAGCCTCACCCAGCATGGCTGAAAATTAAAGAGAATTTGATTTCATGGATCATGAGAAACTATGCGTTGTCCCAAAATAAATCCATCTGCCTCAGTGTGGGGGATCATGGAACAAAGGAAAGCTAATTGCCTTAGAGAAAGAACAAAGGAGTCGACAATGGATGTCCAAGTCAGTGGAACCTACAGACAATGCCCTGAAAGTTATTTTTATTGACTTTGTATGAGTTACATGGTACATATGTTGTTAGAATTCAGATAGGATTGTTGTTCAGCCATGTAGTCCCGTCCGACTCTTCGTGACCCCATGGACCAGAGCACTCCAGGCCCTTCTGTCTTCCACTGCCTCCCGGAGTTGGGTCAAATTCATGTTGGTAGCTTCAATGACACTGTCCATCCATCTCGTCCTATGTCGTTCCCTTCTCCTCTTGCCTTCACATTTTCCCAACATCAGGGTGTTTTCCAGGAAGTCTTCTCTTCTCATGAGATGGCCAGAGTATTGAAACCTCAGCTTCAGAATCTGTCATTCCAGTGAGCGCTCAGGGTTTATTTCCTTCAGAATAGATATATTTGATCTCCTTGCAGTCCAGGGAACTCTCAAGAGTCTCCTTCAGCACCACAATTCAAAAGCACCAGTTCTCCAGTGGTCAACCTTCTTTATCAGATAGGATACAGTGGTGCCTTGCTAGACGATGATAATCCATTCCACTGAAATCACTGTTTAGCAAAATCATCATCTAGCAAAAAGCATTTCCCCATTGGAAACCTATTTAATGCATTCCAATGGGGAAGAATTGTCATTGTCTAGCGAAGATTGGCCATAGGAAAGCCACTTTGCGAACCACCGATCAGCTGTTTAAATAGCTGTCTTGCAAAGCTTAGACCCCGAAAATACCCATTTTGCAATCATGGAGGGAGCTGTCAAAATTGTTGTCTAGTGAAAATTGGTTTGCGAAGCAGGGACCAAACATTGTCCAGCGAAATTCCCCCATAGGAATCACTGTTTTGCGAATCGCTATAACGATTGCAAAAAGTCAATGTCTAGCGAAAAAACTGTCATGCGGGGTAACTGTCTAGCGAGGCACCACTGTACTAGTTACCTAATCGCAACTAGGATTGGCTGAAATAACTCTTTGATTTTATGCTCTACCTGTAAGCGAAAGGGCAGAATAAGGGGTTACCCCGCCTGCTGGCAGCTGCCACTTCCAGCCAGGAGTGTATGCACGTCACTCGAACAGAATGCAGCTACAACCTTTAAGCAGAAGTTTCCCATACCTCAGCACTTAATTGTGCTGATGCACAGATAACCTGTATTGCGGACAAAAAGCTACTGTTAAGACAATATGGAACCAGGGGTTTTTGTTTACAAGAGCTCAGCAGGACTGTCAAGGACAGAATATATTAGAGATCAGTCATTCATAGGGCCATTGTAAGTCAGAGGTGACTTAATGGTACATATCAACAACAAATGTGACAAAATTTTATATTCCACATGCCTCTAGGAGTCTGATTCCACACACTCCTGTAGAGAAACCCTGAATAGGTTTGGACTTATTTACAAAATACAAAAAGAAGTTCCTAATTTAGGCTGCTGTTAGTATTATTGATATTATTGATATTATAAATATTATTGAGCTGGAATAACTTTTCTAGCCAACTTGTCCACTTCGGAGATAGTTCCTTTCCCCAATTGGTCCAAACAAGAACCTGGCTCCATTGAGAAACCTGTAGTGATCTCAAATTTCAATAAATGTGAGAAAACGTCTCAGTATTTTGTCTTTCTGGTACCATCCAAACTAAGAGTCTAAATATACTACTAGACATGCTATCGTGCTCTCTTCTGTCAACTTCTCTATAAAGATATATCTACATGCTCAGAATCACATGATTCTATTCCAGAAGGCTAATGGCTGGATAGCTGTGGTACAGGTCTCCGGCTACGGAGGCAGAGGTTGGGCGTTTGATTCCCCACTGTGCTTTCTTGACCAGGACTGGACTTGATGATCCATAGGGTCCCTTCCAGCTCTGTAGTTGTATGATGATGTTGGAGCATGCTGCAGCAAAACTGAAATACTCCACACTCAGAATGCCCTGCCTTTTCCCAAAACCCGCTGGGATCCTGCTGGTAAAGCAGGCAGAAAGTAGGAGTGGCATGCATTTGCTCCTCCTCCTCTTTATGTGTGTACAGTTTCATTCCTGTTTTAGAAGCATAGGTGGTGAGATAACTTACATTGTGATGTCATCCTCAACGGCAGCCATATCTGATGCTATTCAAATCTACATGATTTCTTTTCATGCAAATGCTTCGGCACACACTTTTGGGCAACCAATATCCACAGTGAACAAAGAATGTAATGTGCTCATAGTCTAGATAGCAGAAGTGGCTGTGACCCACAGCCCGCAGGTAGATTACTAAGAGCCCAAATGCATTCCCCAGCACCACTGTGAGCCCCCAGGCTCCACAATCCAAACATTTTGAACTTGTTTTTTTAAACACTATTTGATAAGGCTCTTGTGCCCTTTAGGAGACATGACTTACTATGTTTCAGGGCTCCTCAGCAGCCCAACATGGGAACCTCAAATTTTAAGAAAGAAATTGGTAGTGGATGTTCATGGAGGTTTTAAATTTAAAAAACATTAAAGAGAGATATATTTTTGACACAGATAGAGTTCAGTAGTGAATATGGCTCTCTGAGACCTCTGGAAGTTGTCCATCCTTGCTGCCCAGTAAGTCACAGTGAAAGCCGCTGGCTTGAATGGAGGAATCAACAAAAATTGATGACTTCCTTTAGATGACAAAGCTTCTCAGAATTTCAGTGTACCCTCAGAAACAGACAAAAACAATTGTTATGGAAAAAGTGGTACGTGACAAATACGTAGTTTATTAATTAAAGGCACTGAAGGGCAATGATTATTTGATATATCAAAAAATGATACTAATGATAAAGCCTTGAAATAGTTATGAGGCAATTGGTTAGCTGAATTTTTGAAGGTTCTTGATAGGGAATTAAATTGGCCTTGTGACACCTTAAAGATGAACACATCTGGGTCAAAATCCTCTTACGTAGCTACACAAATTGCATACTTTTTGGAGATTACCATAATTGTGTCAGGTTAAGAAACCACTACAGATGTTATCAGCAGCATGCTGAGACACATGACTCAGTATGCAGCAGACAAAATCTATAGTTTCTTAACATAAAGCAACTTACCTCCAAAAGTTACACCATTTGTGTTATGCCAGCATAACTAGGCAAGACGATTTGGGCCTTTATTTGAACGAAGCTTTTGTGGACTGTAGTCCATTTCTTTGAATGCATTATTTAGGTAATCTATAAGGCACTGGAAATCCCTTTGTTGTTTTGATTTAACAAACAAAAAGACTAACATGGCTACCCCGCGGGACATATCTGCCTTTCATTTGTTAAAGACACAGGATGAAGATTCAGGATTTATGAGAAAGTCATATGTTTTTTTCTACCAAAGTCCTTATCTAACTAAGGAAAACTTGATAATTATTACATTGCGACTACTGCTAGAAAAGTAGTTGGGGAGTAGTAGTTGTCTATAACATCATTGTCATTGACATCAGACAAAGCTTTCTTCAACCATCTTGATCCTGCCTTTGACTTAGAGAGGAAGGATAATTCTGTATATTCTGTGCATCTGGGCTGCATTTAAGATCTTATAGGCAACTAGAAGGTGGCCTACAATTTTTTCTTGAAAGCAAGTGATCCAGATTGGGAGGAGAACTCCAATATCACTTCTTGTGTTCTTGAAGGCCAGATAACCCTATTAACTTAGAGAGTTGAGCTTTCTATGCCTTGAGAATCTTCAACTATAAAAATTATGAGAGATTCAGTCCTATATCAAGGCTCAGGACTGAGGCTTCCCAGCACTCAATTCAAGGATCTCCAGTTCTTAATTGTGGATCAGAATGACGGTACATTGAGATACAGCTGGTGCCTCACTCCTCTGAGCTGGGTTACTTGCTCACTGTGATGGTGGCAGTGGATGTGGATTCTTCACTCTGTATGTCCTTGCTGAGAAAATCAGAACAGAGAAAGATGTCCTCAAGCAAAAACTAGTGGCTTGGATCAAGGATGACACACTTCTTAAGTCTCAGTTAAGTACTTGAAATCAAAACAGTATCCCAGTTCCTGTAGATCCACTGTTCTAGTGTATGCTGCTTGACAGAGGTTGAGAATTACATTTTTCTTGCTGCAGTTGTCTTGATCATTGAATCTGCAAAAGGACAGATTAATGCTACCTAAATCTGAGTATGATTTAACCTTTTTTCAGACCTCGGGTGGTTGAGGAAAACACTGTATGTCAGGTATTGATTTCAAACATGATGGCAAAGAGCTGGACTTATAACAAATCTAGAAAAGTCTCTGTGGCGTCCACCCTCGTGCCCCTTGTTTGACCATCAAGCCTCAGAGCACACGAAGCCAAGCACTCTGTTCTTTTACACTTGCTGTCACCAGGTGATCTCTAATCACCATTACTTCAGAAAGATTCAGGTCCACACTTCAAGTTCTTTTAAATAATACTTTGGTTTATTGATTACAGAGATTCATAAACATCTTCAGTAGCTAATCACATCTAAATTTCCCAAACTACACACTCTATCACTCTGTCTGGCTTTTCTCTCTGCCTGACTCTTTCATTTCTCTAACTGACTGACTCAGACTCCGCCTCTTATAGCATCTTTCTCGGCTCCGCCTCTCAGCAACATGAATATTCATAAACCATTATATTACATAACAAACATAAACCATTACATAATATAACACGAACCATAGATCTAATAAATGGAGAACGCTACAGTCTCTTTTTGAGAGTCTGAGGGGAACCATTTTTAAAAAGTTTGTCCTGATTTTTCCTTGAATAAAATTAAACCAAAGCATTTCATGGTTACAATTTTGGAATGAGATATGGTGCATTGAAGTACCCACTCAGCCTAGGAACTCACTGAATGAACCTGAGTTAGTTACTCCCTCATAGTCTGACCTACTTTATAAGGCTGTTATAGTAAAAGTGAAATTTGGAAGACATCTGCACATTGGAGGAAAGGCAGGATTATAATGTAGCTAAGTAATAACAGCCAGAAAAGTGTTGCTGGTGTACACCAGTATAAATGCAAAGGCATAAATTATAGCAGCAAATTCACGCTACTCAAGGAGTCATTGCTTGTATTCCTTGTTGCATGCCAACTCTTTGGCTCTGTTGCACTTGGAAAATACAATTTGCCACTGTGCTTTGCACCATTACAGTTACGGTGGAATGCATAAGCAACATGAATCTGGCCTACAAATATGCAAACCTCCAAATGCCGCTGAGACCTGAGATTTCACAAAAGACGTAAGCTTGGTTGATTTAATCTTTCTCTGGATTTGTATTTCACAATGGCTAGGACTATGAAAGGATAAAGGTCCATTTTAGCTTCAAGTAAATTATTTGTCCTGATTTGGAATTATGGGCTGTTTGTTGATGAGGTAAGCAAACTACACAGAAAAGGTAATTAAACTGTAATTAAAGAGGTGTGTATGTGTGTGAAGACAAGGTAGGTTGTTGTTGTTTTAATTAAGAGAAGAATTCAGTGGTGCCAAATATAAAAGTAAAATCATGGACGAGATCATGCACAGTTTTCAGTTTAGCCTCTGGGTGTCGGTATTCACCAGTCTGGCAGAGGAACACAGTCAGAACTTCAAGCAGCTCAGCCTGCAATTCCCTAGCAGTATATGAAATGTCAGAAAAGACACTGCAGAGGACGTAATGCAACATTTAGTTAAGATAATAATACAGATTTTCAGACCCTAGGGCTTCTGAGCTGCAGCCAGTGATATCTATCTTGTTGCAAGAGAATGGGAGAAGCTCAGAGGTTGTGGATCTCTAAAGAGAAAATCGTACAGTGCCTCATAATGGTGCTTGTTTGGAAAGCAGTTTCTGGAAATATTCATTATTCCATTCCTGAAGAGATGCAAAAAGGCTCTTTCGTGGGGAATATTGCAATGGATCTAGGAATGGATGGAAATCATCTTTCGGATCATGGACTACGGATTGTAAACAGCAAAGGTATGATTCAGTATTTTACTCTGAACTACCATAATGGTTATTTACAAATCTCTGAGAGAATAGACAGAGAAGAAATCTGTGGTGAAACAGAGAAGTGCCTGTTAATTTTTGAGGTTATAATTGAGAGCAAAATAGAAATCTATAGCATTGAAGTGGAAATTACTGATATAAATGATAATGCTCCTCACTTCACATCAGGAAAACAGGAACTGAAAATCAGTGAGATTTCTGCTCCTGGATCTCGGTTTCCTTTACGTGAAGCTCAAGACCCAGATCTGGGCATAAATTCAATACAGAGTTACCAACTCACAGGCAGTAGTCATTTTTCCCTTGATGTGCAAATAAGAGAAAATGGTGCCAGATTTGCTGAGCTGGTACTGGAAAAAAATCTGGACCGAGAGGACCAATCAGTTTATGATATGATCCTTACAGCTGCTGATGGAGGTGATCCAATCAAAACTGGCACAGCGCAAATCTCCATCTTTGTGCTAGATACAAATGACAATGCACCCATTTTCAGCCAAGCATTCTATGAAGTGAGTATCAAAGAAAACATACCCAAATGGTCCACAGTGGTTACAGTAAGAGCCACGGATCTGGATGAAGGAACCAATGGAGAGGTAAAGTACTCTTTCAAAAAAATCACAAACAAGGTATCCAAAATGTTTTTATTAAACTCAACAACTGGTATAGTAACCCTGATAGGAAATCTTGACTATGAGGAAGCATCCTCATATGAATTTGAGGTGAGTGCTGAGGATGGAGGAGGACTGAGTGATTGGTCAAAAGTTGTCATTATAGTTGTGGATATTAATGATAATGCACCTCAACTAGCTATAACCTTTTCCATCAATACCATCCTGGAAAATTCACTACTAGGAACCATAATTGCTGTTTTAAATGTGCGAGATGAAGATTCAGGAATCAACGGGGAGGTCACTTGCTCAATTCCCAGCAACCTCCCATTCCAGCTGAAAAAATCTCTAGATAGGTTCTACAGTTTGGTGACACGTGACAACCTTGATCGGGAGGAGAAGTCAAACTACAGCATCACTATTACAGCTACTGATCATGGGACTCCATCACTCTCTGCATCTACTGTTATATTACTTCAGATTCTAGACACAAATGACAATCCACCACACTTTGAGAAAGCAACCTATGGGTCTTATTTCCAGGAAAACAATGCAAGAGGAGCCTCAATCTGTACCCTAAAAGCAAGTGATGCAGACTGGGAAGAGAATGCCAGAATCAGTTACTCCATCGTTGAAGATCAGATGGGTGACTCTTCTTTATCCTCCTACCTCTCCATTAACTCTGAGACTGGGGTTGTTTATGCCTTAAACTCCTTAGATTATGAAGAGATTAAAGAGATTAACTTCTGGGTGAAGGCCCAGGATGGAGGCTCCCCACCCCTCAGCTCCAATGTCTCTGTGACCTTCTTCATCCTGGATCAGAATGACAATGCGCCAGAAATCCTGTACCCTTCCCCTCCCACCGATGGCTCCACTGGGATAGAGCTGGCCCCTCACTCCTCAGAGCCTGGTTACCTGGTCACTAAGGTGGTGGCCGTGGATGCAGATTCTGGCCAGAATGCTTGGCTCTCCTACCAGTTGATCAAGGCTACAGAGCCAGGACTTTTCACTGTGGGACTCCACACTGGAGAGATCAGGACAGCCCGCTTCTTCCTGGAAAAAGATGCCCTCAAGCAAAGCCTGGTGATTTTGGTCAAGGACAATGGGCAACCATCTCTTTCTGCCTCAGTCACAATCACAGTGGTACTGGCTGACAGTTTCCCTGACGTATTGACTGATTTAAACCGCATCTCAACTCCTGTCGATCCTCCTTCAGACCTCACGTACTATCTGGTGGTTGCTGTGGCTTTTGTCTCCTGCTTGTTCTTCACCTTCCTCCTTGGTTTGCTCGCCATCAGATTGCATAAATGGAGAAAATCTCAATTCTGTGACAATGGAAGTGTGCGTTTCAGTGGTGTTCCTGTCTCCCAGTTTGTGGGAATCGACGGAGTCCGAGCGTTCCTTCAGTCTTATTGCCATGAAGTTTCATTGACTTCAGGCTCTCAAAAAAGGCTCTCCCAGATTCTTTTTCCTATTGGAAGCTGTACAAATACACTGACGCCACAGCAGGCTGCTAATAAACCGGATCCTTTGTTAATAACTGGTGATCTGAATATCTTTCAGGAGGAAGCAGCTGCCACTCAGGTGAGCATTTGAATATATCTCTTTTATTTTAAAATTAATAGCATTAGTGCTTCTCTCCTGTTTCAAATGTTAGTACTGTTTCTTTATTGACACCTATTTTGCTCAAGGATTGTGAAGTTCACTGACATGTGAATATATTTCACTTGTTTTTTCCTGACTGTTGTCCGAATCACAATGTAGTATTTTCACCAGGGAGAAGCTAAAGTTTGCGGTTTGAATGTAAGTTCCATGTTCAAACTTGTGCCCATTTAGATAAAGTTCTCTAACAGCTGTTATAAGAAGGATTCTTGCCTAAGTGTTGCTATTTGGAGTAGACAGAAATGGGTAGATGCAACCCAGTCCCAGGGCAGTATAAAGAAATTTATTTCTTCTAAAAGCCTTACTTTGATTCCTGAGTGATTGAACATTTGTTGATGTATAGCTGGATCTATGAAATTATCACAAAGCACAGCATTTTTATTCGGGTTTTATGAATGTTCTGCACATGATATTTAAAAATATTTATTTTAGACTGTACAGTATAGTCTCTAGTCTAGCTGGGGTATAATCATATGCTGTATATAATGAGCTGCTGCAAGTTTAAAAATGCTTCACAGTTGACCACCAGTAAGTCTGCAGGTGTACAGCACTTTCCCCCCATACATGTACCTATGCTTACATGCCCATCTTATCTTGCAACCGAATCACTACTGTTAAAATAATAATCAATATTGTTCATTAGCATTGTTGTCCTCACCCCACCCCACTTAGCTTAATATCTGCCAACAAAAGGATCAATCCTTGCCTCTGATGAAGAGGACTGCAGTCCAGAAAGGGCTGGCTAATTAAAAAATCTTGGTACCACTAGACTTTTTGTTGGTTTTACTGCAACAAACTTAGAGACCTACTTCTGGAATTCTGTGCTCCCCCCCTTATTTTAAGAAAAGCTGTAGATCTCTGTTTTCTTTCTAGTACATTTCATTTTTATTCAAAAAGAGGACCTGCTTTCAAAGCTCTCTAGCACCACACTATTTGTGATTATCTGTGTAAAACGAACATTACTTTTTTTCTTTCTCCTACTGCTTGTCTGATTCAGTACAGAAACCTTTATTGGCATGCTGCATAAATAAAACGATAAAACAATAAAATACCGGGGAAAGATTCATTACTGGGGGGAGGAGGAACCAGAACATCAAAGTTGGAGCCCCTCGTTTTGGGGGAACATGTTGCGGCGTCTCTGGATAATGGCCTGGACGTATCTGGCGGTTGATAGAGTGACTTCCTTGCTAAGGTCACCTAGAAGGTATTGTATTTTCCTCAGGTCTGCCCATCCGGAATGAAGGGGGAGAAAGACCATCTGATGTGACAGGCGGATATCCTTGTAGAGTGTACAATAAAATAGCATGTGCTGCAGGGATTCAGTCTTTCCCTGCCCACATGGGCAGATTCTCAATTCTGTTGGTAAGCCCCTATACCTGCCCTGCGCTAGACTTGATGGTAATATGTTACATCTAGCGAGGGTGAATGCCCAGCGGTCTTGTGGCTGTTCTAGAAGATGAAGGTAGTTGGGTCTGCGTCCGAGGGTGAGAGGTAGCTGGAAGTACAGCGGAGAGCAGACTTTCAGGGCCGCGCTAAACAGCGTTTGTCCTTCAATGTCCAAGACCCTGTTTTTGATGGTTTGGAAGACCCTAGAGGGGGGTATTGAGCCCATTAGGTCTGGTGACAGCCCTAGGGTCTTGATTTTCTTTAAGAATAGGGCCAGGCCTTTGGGTAACAAACTGTCAGCAAGCAGGGCTTGAAGCAGGGTGTCCTTAGGAGAGAGAAAACAGATTTTGACCCAGTATTTTAGGAAACTGAGCCAGGCCCTAGTTTCAATTCTCTGTTGACCGCATTCAAGACATAGGGCAGCATATGGAACACAGTGGGGAAGGCCTAAGATTTTGTATAGAAATACAGATTGGACTCTCTCCACGGAGCTGTGTAGTGAAGACATCCAGATGGGGACGCCGTATAAGAGCTGTGAGACTGATTTCGAGTTGAAGATCTGCAGGGCAGCGGGGATGTAGCCATGGCCCCAGGTGTGGTGGAAACGTAGGATGGCTTGTGCCGAGAGCTTGGCAGACTTAGTTGCTGCCCGTTGGTGAGTTGTCCAGGAGTGACGGTAGTGAAAGAAAACGCCCAAATACTTGAACTCTCTGACCTGCTGGATAGATTTCCCATGGAAGGACCATGGGAAAGATTTCCAAGCCTTGCCGAAGACTATGATTTTGGTTTTCTCGAAGTTTAATTGAAGGTTATTGTGTGATAAATAGTCAAGGCAGCAGGTAATGAGCCGCTTTAGGCCGACCCTTGGGTATACTGTAATATGCTATATATAATGAGCTGCTGCAAGTTTAAAAATGCTTCACAGTTGACCACCAGTAAGTCTGCAGGTGTACAGCACTTTTCCCCATACATGTACGATCGACTTACCTGTGCTTACATGCCCATCTTATCTTGCAATCAAATCACCACTATTAAAATAATAAGCAATGTTGTTCATTAGCATTGTTGTCCTCACCAAACTTAGCCTAATATCTGCCAACAAAAGGATCAATCTTTGCCTCTGATGAAGAGGACTGCATTCCAGAAAAGGTTGGCTAATTTAAAAACCATGGTACCACTATACTTTTTTTTGCTTTTGCTGCAACAAACTTAGAGACTACTTCTGGAATTCTGTGCTCCCCCCCCCTTATTTTAAAAAAAGCTGTAGATCTCTGTTTTCTTTCTAATACATTTCATTTTTATTCAAAAAGAGGACCTGCATTCAAAGCTCTATAGCACCACACTGTGATTATCTTTGTAAAACAAACATTACTTTTTTTCTTTGTCCTACTGCTTGTATTATTCAAAGTCCTAGAGAGCTTGTATGTACGTCTTTAGTGACCCAGCAGTGTTATACATACCACATAGCTCCATTTTAAAAAATCACTCTAGAAAATTATTGATAACTCTGGATATTTCTAAGAAATTACAACACTTTTTCATGATGTAAGAGGAGGAAGCTCCAGGATGTTGAAGCTATAAATGAATATAGCATCAACTTACTTTCATCAAGACTGTGGATGGAGAAAACAAAGATTTTTTGCTAGATGAATATGAATTCGTATTAGTTGGAAAAGTACAGTAAAATATGACCAGAGCTACAGAGTTACTAATATAGCTTATGACTGGGGCAGGTTTAGAAACCTTATTGCTTAAAGCAGGACACAGACCATTGCTTCCTCATATGTTGTAGATTTGTCTCTGCCTGGCTAGAGAAGACTGCTAGAGATATCAGCCTAGAGATGCCCTGAATGCACTAGTTTCAAATAATTATCCCAAAGGTTACACAGACAATCCCTTAGCCAAATGTTTTGCTGCTTATTGCAGGAACCACAATCCATCATCTGAAAGCCTCTTAGTTCAGGGAACACAGACATTTTAGGAACAGCCCAGCTCAACAAACCCACATCCTTTTGGGGAGTCTCCCTCCATGACATATATATGCAATATTTCAATTAGAACCCTAGAATTGTTTATTAATAAGGATGGCAACAGCAAAAAAGGAAAATATAAAAGGAAAACTGAGAATGTCAGTGTACCAGCTGACAATTTACTACCCCCATTTTGCTTGGGAACAAGCCCAATTGAACTCAGTTAAGCTTGCTTTTGGGTAGTGATATATAGGATTCAGCTCTCAATCTTAAATAGTATGTGTAAAAATGTGAAATGGAAGAACAATAGATAATTCATCACTCGTTGATATCAAGAGAAGCAACTGCTGGATAGCTCAATGGTTTAGCGATATCAAGAGAAGAAGCAACTGCTGGATAGCTCAGTGGTTTAGGTGTCTGGCTGCAGAGTTCAGTTCCACACTGTGCCTCCTTTATGGGGTCTTGACTTGATGATCCATAAGGCTCCATACAGCTCTGCAGTTCTAAGATTATGATTATGTGTGCAGAAAAGGTATTTGACTATATAGAATGGAAATTCATGTTTTCAGATATAAAATGGTTTGGAATTGGCCCAGTGCTAATTAATTGACTTCTGTCAATTTATAGTATTCTGTATGCCGAACGTATTGATTCACTGCATTACATAATTTTTTTTAACATTTCTCTTGAGATGTGGGGTCAAACAAGATAGGAGTACGTTGGTTTCGTCGTTTAGTCGTTTAGTCGTGTCCGTAATTAATTGACTTCTATCAATTTATAGTATTCTGTATGCCAAACGAATTGATACACTGCATTACATAATAATAATTTGTAAAAAATATTTCTCTTGAGATATGGGGTCAAACAAGACAGGAGTAACTTGGGAAGAAAACCCTGATCATTGTAATTGGTTTACAGTTTTGAGAAGGAAGAGGCATAACGCAGAAAATAGAATGGGACACATCTGGTGATGCATTCATGTTACATTTCATGGAGAGAGATCTCCTGCTTCTTTTGTTCTGCTTATTTCTGCAACATCTTTCCTGAAAGCTTTTGTACTTTTTGTCAAATGTCTTTTTATTGCCCTAAATAGAATTTGTTGGTATATCACCTTAGTATGGATGTTGATACTACTTCTGCTTTGTTTGTTACTCTGTGGATGAAAATTTTAATTGACTAGCACAGGTATACCATTAGATACATATAATATGATTAACACAGATGTACTGTTTACACACACACAGCTCTGTTTGGCATAGTGTTGATTGAATACTGGGTTGTGTCCAGTGAATTTCCCACACTCCTATAGGGATTCTATAGAGCAGAATGGCAGGTGGAGCTGAGTCCTAAAGGGGAAAGGGGAATTTGATTCCAGCAGGAATCCTTCCAGTTCCTTTATGAATGGGAACAAAATCTCCTGTTCATGAAGGAGGCAATCTGAATCCCACTCATAAACTTCTCATTGATGAAAATAGTCACTGTTTATTAAGAGTACAGTAAAGTAAAAAACATAGGAAGCAAACACCAAATAATACCAAAGGGCAACACAATCATCACTGTGAAGTATTATATTTGGTA